CCCCTCCTTTCTCCTTGCTGCCCCGCCAAGGCTGCGAAGTCACACTCCGTCCTTCTGCGACGAGTCCCTGTTCGGTGCCAAACCCCCGGGTCCCGCCTGGGCACCTCCTTGGATGAGGAAGGAAGACATAGCCAAGCTCCATCCGCTGCTCTGGAGCCCCCCGCCTGCCCCCCGAAACCAGCCCGGCCTTTCCCCCCGCTGCAGGGAGACCCCCGTGAGAGCCCTCTCCTCGCCAGCCCCTGCGTCTCCGGCAGCAGCAGCCTTTGAGGTGGGTCGTAAGGGCAAGTCCTGCCTCTGGAAGCGTCCCGAAAGTGGTTCTTGCTCCGAAGGCCGGGATGCTCCCAGCAGAGGACGTTCCCAGTCTCTCAGCCGGCTGAGCACCCCCTCAGACGGGCTGTGCCTGGCTTCAGACAACCCCAAGACTGAAAGGCGTAAAAACCAGAGCCTTCCAACAGCCCTTGCGACCCCTCGAGGCCCTCTGATGAGGGGTCGGTCCAAAAGCGTGTCCACACCTCCTTGCGCCAGGGGCTCCGTGGCAGCGGGTGGCTGCAAACCCAGGCCTCCCTGGAAGTGAAGCCGGATGTCCCTCTGGATGCAAATCCAGCCTTAACCTCCCCGAGGTGGGGTCTGACCTCCTGGAGAATGAGTCTGCGAGGACCCTTGGACCTCCCGTGGCTGTGAACGAAGGATGGGGATGCTGTTCCGCATGGAAGGATGAGCTGGGAACCGAGGCTGACTGCACCACTGGAGTGGGACAGCCTTGGTGGTAAGGGCAGCTTCCATTAACTGTTGTGGACATCAGATAAGGTGCGGTAACAAGTCAGGTTCCTTCTGGCCAGGAAGTCAGAACAGCGAGAAGTGGGGCTGCCTACAGCGTAGGCCCAGGGCCCGTCAAGGAGAAGGACCAGGCACAGGTACACCTACAGCGTAGCTCGGCAGGGACAGGCAGGGCCTGAGCTCAGGTGGAGCTCCCAGACCAGATAACCACTGGGGTGGAGGTCCCAGGTGAGGCTGGCCGGGGTCTGAAGCCCTGACGAGGACCTCTGCTGACCACCTCTGAGGAGAAGAGAGGTCCTGCTTCGTCCTGCTTGCTGTGTACAGTCACAGGATCTCTTGGTCTTGATGGGACTGCAGGAGGTCTCTAGCCCAACCTCCTGCTTGTGGCAGGTGAGCTATGGGCTGCTCAGGGATTTATCCAGTTGGGTGGTGGAAACCATCAAGGACAGAGGCTGCACAACCTCTCTGGCACCCCCTCCCGCTGCTCGACTGTCCTTGGGGTGAAAAGTTTCCCTTTCTGTCCAGTCAGAGCCTTTCTTGTTTCACTTTATGTCTGTTCTCTCGTTCTGCTCTGTACCTGAGCAGAAACCTTGGCTTGGTCCTCACGGTCACCTCCTCTTCGCAGGTACTGGGAGGCTGCTCTGGGGGGCCCCAAAACCTTCCCTTCCCCAGGCTGAAGGAGCACCATTCCCTCAACCTCTGCACATGGGATGTGTGCTCCAGCCCTGACCGTCTTGGTGGCTCTCTGCTGGACTTCATTTCAGCAACACATTAGTGGTCTCCTTTGGCAAGGGAGGACGAGCAGAGAGGTGAGGAATGGCATCGCCCTGCGTCCTGCTGCATCCAGCAGCTTCTAGCGGTGAGGATGTGCTGAGTGGATACGTAATCCCGTGGTTTGTACTGAGGGTTGTGAGGTGCTCTCACAGCCACTCCGTGCTCGTCACCAAATAAATGATCCAAGGCAAATCTGTTGGGGCCTCGTGTTTGGTCTGTGGGACATTGCTGTGTGATCTGGGCACAGCTGGCGTCTCCAAAGACTGTCTGAGCAAAACAGTTCCTCCTTGATTTCCATTCCTGAGGTGGGAAAGAGCAACTCAGTCTTTAGGAATGTAAGCAGGGAGGCAGATAAAGGCGGCGAGCTGGGTGACTCGGGGTTTGCAGCCAGTGTCGCTGCTCTCCTGGGAAGGGAGGCTGCAGTGATGAGCGGCTGAGAATGGAGAACGCAGGGGAGTCGCTGGGAGTTGGGTAACTCCCTCCCACAGAAAGGGAAACGTTCTCTCAGATTCACCCAAGGACAAACTGAGCCAGGTTAAGGGCATCATTCTGCCCCCAGAAATGGTTTTATTGCAGCAGCAGGATTGGGCCTTCACCCACTGCAGCACATGAAGGGCACGGGAGCTAGGAAGGCCAGTCAGGAGGGACGCTCCTAGTCCAGTCCTATTTGCAAGAAAGGGTATTCTTGCTTTTGAAAGACAGCAGAGCTCAACCCAAAATGGTGAGACACTGTCACACCACTGCTCTGATGTCCTCTGTGTGTGACAGCTAGCCCTGGCAGGCTTAGGCCATAGTGCAAGTGCTATCTCCGTTAATGCTTGTAATGTGGGAGAGCTGAGCCCCAGGGGAGCAAGCAGCTATGCTGGGAGGAAAGAATGGAGGACAGAGGATGGATTTTGTGCTTATTTCTTGGCCTTCTTGCCCTCTCCCTGCTTGTCTGGAACAAGCAGCTTTTCTGGATGTGGGTGGCAGCACAGGTCATGGCCGTCTCCCTCACGTCCTGCTTATTCTTCTCCTGCCACATTCAGTGCTCCTTCTCAGTCCAGGAGAAGTAGGTAAGCACAGTGTGTTTCTCCTTCGGGGCCAGGCCGCAGACAGCATCAAGTGCCTCTCACTCAGCCTGGCAAGACAGCAGACACCAGTTACTGCAAGCTTGAGGGCCTTCAGCAGGTTTTCCATGCCTGTCCGTATGGAGGGATCCTCTTACCCATCCCAAATCTGGGTAGAAGTGCCCATGGCTGCTAAACCGAGCCTTCCTGAAGGGACCAAAAAAGGAAACGTGCCTGAACGGGACTTTTCAAGAGGTGCCAGGTCCAAATACCTTCATGGTCCTTTGAACATCCCCCTGAAGCTTCCCTGCATTGCAGCCAGCCTCTGTCCTCTGATGGGGACTCTGAGCGAGGACAGCATATGCAGGTCTGAGCCTGCTTTGCCACAGCGCTGAAGAAAAGGCCACATCTCTCTGCTTTGGCTGGGGCTGAGCTGAGAGCTTTGCTGAGAAGCAGGTTATATCAGTGGTGCTGTAACCCACCTAATACGCTGTGGGCTGTCGGGAGCGTGGAAAGAGCCAGGCCATGTCTGCCTGCAGAAGGACGAGGACCAGTAGGTTTGGTGGCACTTGGCAGCAGTTTATTCCTTGCCCAACGCACTTAGTGAGCCACGTGGAGGAGGAGGGTTAGGGGAGCCAGCAGTTCTGGGGCTCAGTGCTCTAGCCACCCTGGCAGGTAGGAAGCAAGAATAACTTGACGTTATTAAAAACCTGACAAGGATCCTTATGATTGGCATCAAGCTTTCAGGCCCCTCCCTACACTTTGCATTGTGGCAGTTCAGCAGCTCTTCGGCACCTGGGTCAAAACTGAAGGGACCTGAAAGCAATTAGGGCCTCCTCAGAGGAGGCATTGGGGGTGCTGACATGAATCTGAGCTTGGTCAGCTTAATTTGGATGTCGGCACAGTGACATGCAAGCTGTTAAGCCTGCGGGTCTTTCAGTGGGCTGGGAGAGAAACCGAAGTGTGATTTGGACACTAGATGGAGACAAGAGGGTTAAGGATTGACACGAAAGTGCGAGCCCTGTTCCCTAGCAGCAGGTGGATGAGTCAGATCCAGTGAGGCCAGTCACCAGCAAACTGGGGTAACTGCCTCAAAATCGAAGCAGCAGAGAACTGCTGAACCTGAAAGCAGGACACAAAGTGCAATACTAGAGCGCTGGAATGCTTGAAAGATGAAGCTTCTTAAAATGAAAAGAGATTTTATCTGAAAAACAAGTTGGCAGTGGTTTGTATGGCCAGGGGTAGCCAATTAACCCCAATGCTGTGTTCAGGTTTTAAGGAATCAACGAGGGAAACTAGAGCCCATTGCATCAGCCACACGCTTTCCTGTCCCATGCTGGCCCAGGTTGTCACCGAGGGCTTCCAGGCTATCAGGAGATCAGAACTGGCACTTCCTCGCTATTTACACCACAAGAACAATATTGGTTAAGATATAAACGGGTATAAATGGGTTGCTTGGATTTCATACTGCGGTTCTCGCTCGTATTTGACGCTTTGCTACTGCCTTGTCCTCTTGTTCTACCAGAGCTGTGCAGTCCAGCACGAGAGCAAAAGATGCTCCATTACTGCCGTGGGCTGCCCTGCCTGTTGGAGGCTGGTGCTTGTGTGGAGCAAACACCAGCTGTGAATAAAATGAGATGGGGGAAATGTTCAGTTGTTTCCTAGCTCCTGATTCACCCTGTCCAGTGTCACTGATACTCGGCTCAGGCGAGAGTTGTGGATACAGAGGCCTGAATCACAGCTGGGATTCCTGCCTGCTGCTGCTCTTATTTCTTATTTTCTATCTGCTCAACACTGTGATAAGTCACCCTTTGTCTACCTTTGCCTCAAACCTGACTCCTTGTCTATGTCTCTCAGCAAAGTACCAGCCAATCTGGGAACTGCTTAGTGTCCAAAATTAGCTGCACCCAGCCCTAGGTGCTACAAACAACTATAAAAGATGGTTTTATGTGTGGGCAGTATTATGTTTGCTCTGCTTAGCCCATACCAGCTCCCTTCCCTCTCAACACACGCATTGCCTGATCTGTGGTAGCCTCACTGCTCTGCAGTCTGGCTAGCGTGCAGCCTCTCCGAACTGGCACAGTGCTTTGCAGAGGAGGTTTCAGAGCTGAGTCAGTGGAGGGGGAGAAAAGGTGGTCCAGTTGCAATTGTGTTGCTACAGGGCTGCTTTCTACTGAAATCAGCAGAGCACTGTGATGGAGCAGATACACCCTGAAAAAGGGCACATGCGTCCTGGCAGGAGCCATGTAATTACCTGAAGCGGGCAGCAGCCTGACCTGACAGCATGACAACAGGTTTAATATCCTCCTGCAGTACCTTTCTGAGTGCCAGCACTGATTCTCAATGCTCCAACACAAGTATATTGAGTTGTGTGCTGAGTGTCCTGCTGTAGCTCAGTATGCTCGTTTGGGGAAGCCCGCAGCTCCCATTTCTGCTGTTTCACCACTTCCCTCTCGGTCTGTGGGATGCAGGTCTTTTAAGGCTTTTGGCCAGCTCTTGCAAGCTGTTTTTGAGATCTTTCATCACATTATCCTTGTAAATCCGGCCCTGGAGGAGGACACAAAGAAAGAAATACTACTGAGAAAGGGAGGGCATGGTGAGGCATCACGTGGGCAGGAGAAAGGCTCATTTGCAAAGATGTTGGTAATGTGAGACTGCACACCTCTGCTCTGGCAGCAAGGGGGACACTCCAGCTGGATAGAGGCCTTACCTACCCATTTGTAACATTGACAGGAGTTCTGCTGGTGGCAAAATCAATCAGAGCCACTGAGCTTTACCAGGCCGGGTTGGGCTCAGAGGGATTGCCCTGGGGACCTGGCTCAGTGGGGTGAGAGAAATGCTCAGCTTGGACCAATGGAACAGATTTATTCGTTACACACTGCGCTGCTGGCTTCCAGCTTGAGAATCCTCACCTCATCAGAGACAGATGTAATCCCGGGGTCTGGGGAGTGCTGTATTTCACCGATGGGCCCCC